ATATTCGGTGCGGGCGGCTTTTTCAGACGCTTCTTAGATCCTTCACGTGTGCTACGCCGGCCCGCCGATTGTTGTGATCACGCAGACGGGCGATGACTGGTGATAGCAGTCTTTCTACGGTGTATGGTCCCGTATATCGCGGCGCGAGTTTGCCCGCGAAGCCTTCGGCCGCTTTGGATAGCGGGTGCTCCCTTCGCATGACCTGGCTCCCAATAGCTGGCTTCCAGTCCCGGCGGCGGAGATTGTAATATCGCCCTTGGCGGGCGGTGGCTTCGTCCTGTCACAAGACCGCCACTTCGTATTCCTCTCGCATTCGTTCGATCTGTTGCAGTCGCACCGTTGGTCTTCGTTCGGTTCCGGCATCTTCCTTAAGCGGGGCTTCATGTCGTGCGCGCAGCGTCCCGGGAGTTTCTAGTTCTCGCCCGTAGGTTAGGCGGGCCGGGGTGTACCCGGTGCTGTCGTGCACTGCCGTGTTAATCGCGAATGTGAGCAGGGGTAGTTTCTTATCCCAGTGTCGGTGATTTCCTTCGGTGAATTGCGCGATCATTGTTTTCAAAGTTCGGTTTGCGCGCTCCACGGGGTTGCACTGGGGGGAGTAGGGCGGTGTGCGTCGGTGCTGGATCCCGGCTTGGGCTGCCATCTCGCGGAATTCCCGGCTCTCGAACTGCTTCCCGTTGTCGGTAATGATGCGTCGGGGGCAGCCATGCTGGTAGAGCACGTACTCCTCGATGGCGCGTGTGACTGCCGTTGCGGTGGCTTGTCGTAGAGGGCGTGTTATGAGCCATTTGGTGAATGTGTCTTGGCAGACCAGTATCCACGTGTGTCCGTTCGTGGATCGTGGTAGCGGGCCGATAAGGTCTATTGCCAGGACTTCGTTCGGGCCTTCTACTCGATCGTGGTGCAGGAGCCCGGCGGTTAGTCTTTGTTGGGGTTTGAACTGCTGACAGTTCTTGCACTGGCGGACGTAGTTGGTGGCCTCTCTGAACATGCCCGGCCAGTAATATTTTTGAGCCAATCGGGCGAGCGTTTTTGCTACTCTTAGGTGTCCGGCGGTAGCCTCGTCGTGGCACACTTTTAGTACTTGGTCTCGTAGTGGCTTCGGAACGCAGAATTTCCACGCCGCCTGGCTTGTTTGTTCGTCCGTGCTGTGTCGTTCATGGAAATGGCGGTACAGATTCCCCTCGTGTATGCGGAAGTCTGGGTGCTTCTTTGGTTCGTTCTGTACGGCCAGCGTGGTCCGCTGGTACCAGGCGCAGGTATCCTTGGGTAGTATAGCCGCCAGATCCCATTCGGCTGTTTCTACAGCCTCCTCCCCCTCGGCTAGAGGCTGGCGAGACAATGCGTCCGGCACGTGGTTGAGGGCCCCCTTTCGGTATTCTATTTCAAAGTCATGTTGCTGCAGGAACACCGCCCATCGAGCCAGCCGGCCCGTCGGATCCTCGAGGGTGCGAAGCCATCGGAGCGAGAAGTGATCCGTAATGACGCGGAAATGGTACCCCTCGAGATAGGGTCGCATTTTCTCTATTCCCCATACCACGGCGAGGCACTCCTTCTCGGTCGCAGAGTAATGCTTCTTGCTTGGCCTGAGGGTGCGGCTGGCATAGGCGACCACTCGTTCTTCTTCGTTGACGTCCTGCGTCAGTACGGCCCCTAGTCCCTTGTCACTGGCGTCGGTCTGTAGCGTGAAGGTCTTCGTGAAGTCCGGGCATCGCAATACGGGTGCTGTGGCGAGGTCGTTCTTTACTTGTCGGTGTGCTTCCTGTTGGTCCGGTCCCCACTCCCACCGGGTTCCCTTACGGAGGAGTTCGTTCAGTGGTGCCGTTACTTGTGCTTGGTTCGGGATGAAACGTCGGTACCAGGATGCCATGCCCAGGAATCGGCGGAGTTCCCCTACGTTCGTCGGGGTCGGCATGCCCAGTATCGCGCTGACTTTTTCTGGGTCGGTCCGGAGCCCGCCTTGGTCTACTACGTGCCCGAGGTATCGCAGGCTGGTTCGGCCGAACTGGCATTTGTCCGGGTTGAGACGGAGATTGGCGTTAAGTAGGCGATGGAGCACTTCCTCTAGATTTCGAAGGTGTTCCCCGAAGGTTTTGCCCAGCACGACGATGTCATCTAGGTAGGCGAAGGCTCGGGGCTCCATGTCTGGTCCTATAACCTGGTCCAGCAGACGCTGGAAGGTGGTGGGTGCGGCGTGCAATCCGAAGGGCATAACCTTGAATTGGAACTGTCCTCGTCCCGGGACGGCAAAAACGGTCAACGGCTTGCTGGCTGGGTGAAGCGGCACCTGCCAGTATCCATTTTTGAGGTCGATGGTGGATAGATAGCGCGCCTCCCGCAATTGATCGAGTATGTGTTGTACCGGCGGCAATGGGTAGGCGTCTCTCTCGGTGACCTCGTTAATTCGGCGGAAGTCGATGCAAAATCGATGCTTCCCGTCCTTCTTCCTAGCTAGCACGACCCCCGAGTTCCAGGGGCTGCAGGTCGGTTCTATGCTCCCTTCCTGGAGCATTTTGTTGATCTCGGTGTCTATGATTTGTTGCATCGCGGGATTATACGTGCGGTAGCGCTGGCGTATTGGTACCTGGCCTGGTTTTAGTCGGATGTGGTGAGTTGCCAGCGGCGTTGTCCCCTGTACTTGTTCGAATTTCGGTAGCATCCTGTCCAGTAGCCGCCCTTGCTGGTTCGTTGAGCAGGGGTTCAGGCCTCCCCCTTCCTTGGCGGTTGGTCCACTCTCGGTGCTCACGGCGGCAAGAGGCGGGATGCCCCATCGGAATCCGGCTTTTTGCAGTAGTCCCACCCCTGCGATAATGTCGGGGGTGAGATTTGGCAGCACGTGGAACTCCTGCCACCCGCGGAATCGTCCCATTCGCGTATATCCTCGAAGCTCCTCCGTGACCGGGCTGATTCGTCCGTCGGCAAGATATGCGGCGGCCTGGATCCGCCGGCAGTGGGTGTGCGGGCGTAGGTGGTCGGCGGCCCTCTGGGAGATGTAGGAGAGGATTGCCCCGCAGTCTAGTAAAGCCGTATAGCGTTGCCCCTGTATCTCGAGTTCCGCGTGCGGTCGTGGATCGCTGGTGCGTGGACCCGGGCGGATACTGGGAAGTTGGTGGCTTATGCTGCGCCTTCCTCCTTGGTGGGGTCGTTGAGGGGCCGGGAAGCTTCCCCGGCTTCCGCGGCCGTGCCCGCGTTTCCCGGCCGTGTGCCATGACAATCGCGGGTGAGGACGCCGTCCTTCCCGCACTGGGAGCAGAAGACTTTCGGCGGTCGTCGGCAAAAGCGTCGCGTGTGCCCCCTTTGGCCGCAGCCCCAGCAGCAGTCCCGTGGATTGTATTCGGCCGTGATCGCCGCAACCGCTGTTTTCGGTTGGCCCCTCCCTTTGTCACTCTTCGGTACGGGCCGGTAGTTCTGTTCGTATCTACGGATGCGTTCGTAGTCGTCGGCCAGCCGTAGCATCTCTGCCAGATCCTGGAAGTCGAACCTACGGATGAAGAGCTGGTACTCCGGCCGCAAGTTATGATAGGTCCGTTCGAGGCGGTCCTCCGGCGTCATCTCCTTATGGCGGCGCATGAGGGTCTGAATGGCCGTCACGTAGTCTCGTGCAGCCTCGGTCGGCCCCTGGGTCCGTCGTGCGATTGTTTCCTCCAGCTCGTATCGGGTCTTGGTGGGGACATAATACTGGCGGAAGCACTCCTCAAATTCCTTCCAGGTGGCCCATTGGTCTCGGTTGTTTCGATACCATATGAGCGCCTGATCCTTAAACAGGAGCGGCAAGCAGTGGCGGAGCTGGTTGTGGGTCAGCCCGTAGCCCTCCTTTAGATCCTCGAGCCGTTCGAGGAAGGCGACCCCGTCTTTGCCGTCAAACTGGCATCCCCATTTGCGGACAGTGCCGAGTAGTGTGGTGGTGTCGGTTAGTGATCGTCGGCTACGGCCGGGCTTGGTCCGTTCGGTTTGGACCTTTTGTTCGTCGTCTTCCTCGGAGTCGGTTTCGTTGTCGGCGTAGGTGGCGTCCTTCTGCTCGGCTCGGACAGATTCCAGGAGTCGTGCGCGCAGTTCATCGCGGCTTCCTTCGGTCGGCAATTTGCGTTCGGTTAACTCGGCAATCAAAGCGTTTTTGGATAGCGCGTGTACCCAACCGGTGCTGGTTTGCGGCATGGCGGCGGTTCCGGGTTCGAGCCCCCGTTGGCTCTCTCTTTCGTGGAGTCTTATTGGCCAAGTCCCTGTTCGGGCGCCATTTGTGACCTTCTCGCTTTGCTACGGATAGCTCGGAGTATGGACCGAGGTCCGGGCGGCGGGAATTGGCCAATAGACTGCACGCTTTGTTCGTTTTCCGTCTTTTATTCTTTCATCTGCCCTAGGCTAATATAATACAGTTCCCTGCGCTAGTGACTTCTAATATCTAACATCTACTGTCTTATTATCTAGTTTCTTAATATCTAGTGCCTTATCGTCTAAACGCCGGTACTCGGTCGTATCCTCCCCGGGTCTGGTCGCGGCGCGACGACGCGGGGTTGCGGCGGCGCAAGCGCGTTTCCCGATCGCGAGCTCGGTATCGAAGTCAGCCCCTCGGGTCGGGGCCTCGGTAGGGCGGGCGGACGGGGCGGGCGTGCTCAACACGCACGTCGGTATTGAAGGAATGTACTCAGCACGTACATCGGGGTCGGTGGGACGCGCTCAACACGCACGTCGGAGTGTCGGCCGTACTCAGCTCGTACGGTAGGATCAGAAGGATGTGCTCAACACGCACGTCGGGAAGGGGGGTGCTCCGTTCAACACACGGGACGATGGAGTCTCTCTCTCGAAGCTCAGCTCGCTCGTCAAGAGCATGTGCCGGCTCAACTCGCCGGGCGGGAATGGTGCTTCGGTGGGCGCGCGGTGCCGTTATATAGGCGCAAGTGGGAGGTGAGCGGCAGAGAGACGAGGCGGGGGATCGCGCGCAAGGAGGGGGTGCCGGAGCTATACGCGGTGTTCGCTGGCGACTCGTTACAAAACTAAAGCAAAATATGAGAACTGAAGATGAAAGAGAATTTGCAAATTGGTTGTTGCAACTCGGCGATGGTAAATTGTCAAATATGGATGAATTAAATCCTGATACAATAGAAATTCCTCAGGATTTTATATCAGAACAATCTCTTATAACTGAGATTTTTGGAGATAGAATCACTATGGAACAGGTTCGACAAAATCAAGATCGAGCAATTCTTTGTCCTAAGAATGAGGATACGTTTAAAATTAATGACGAAATCCTTCGTTTAATGGAAGGAGATGAAAAGGAGTATCTCTCAATTGACTCTATTATGAGTGATGATCCACAGGAACAATTGAATTTTCCGACTGAGTTTTTAAACTCTCTGTCACGCTCTGGAATGCCAGTTCATCGACTAAAAATAAAAATAGGTGCAACAATTATTCTATTAAGGAATTTTAATACGAAGAAAGGACTATGCAATGGCACGAGATTCATTGTAATTGATTTAAAATCTAATTTGATTCATGCGGAGGTTCTGACTGGCCCTGGAAGAGGTCAAACTATTTCCTCCCAAGGATTAATTTCCTTCCAAATGACTCGGAAATTCCGTTTAAGCTCAAAAGGAGACAGTTTCCTATTAGAGTGTCATTTGCTATGACAATCAATAAATCACAGGGACAAACTTTACAAAAAGTTGGGATTTATTTGCAAAATCCCGTATTTGCACATGGACAACTGTATGTAGCATTTTCTAGAGCAACGAAAAGAGATAATGTCAAAGTTAAGGTCGTTGAGGATAAAAATCAAGGACATCTCATTGAGGGAAATTCAAAAATATTTACGAAAAATGTTGTATACCGAGAAATTTTATAAATTGAACAATAAAATTGAGGGGAAATCAATAATGTGGGTGGTGAACGGTATTTAAATGATCAAAAAATATTATTAAATCCAAAATGATAGAGATGGTTAGAAAGGATAAGTATTGCAGAGTACGCAAGTCACGTCCGATTCGACCGCACTTTGACAGAAAACGAAGGCGTAACGGGAGAGGGTACTGAGGCAACGTGTAACGCGTACTTCACCCGCACGGGGCGTAAAGAAAAAAAAAGAATAAACAAGTAACAGGAAAGTGCGCCGGAGAGAGTATTTCATGAGATTAATAAAAAAAAACGATAAATAGAAAGCGCAAGATTAGAAGGTATATATAAAGAATAATGAGAGTGGATTAGGCCTATTGGGGAAACCACTTAAAAAAAAACGCGCCAAGCTATCTACCACAAGGTGGTGTGGAAATGATAGATAAAAAAAAAGTTACTAAAATAAATTTCAAAATCAGTTTCGAGGTCACCATGTACAGGGAGATTATGGTCGGATTTTGTGAAATCGATAAAAAAATTGCAAATTTTACGGAGAAGAATTTCGCAAATGAGTTTTTAAAGTCAGTGACACCATCTGGAATGCCAGTTGATCGAATGAAAAAAAATGGTGCTAAAATTATTCTATTAGGGAATAAAAATACCAAGAAATGACTATGGAATGACACAGGATTCATTATTATTGATCTAAAATATAATCTGATTTATGCTATTGCGCGAGGCGCGGGCTGAAAAGCTAGTAATTTCATATTCAGGGCAGAAGGGGAGAATGAAGGAAGGCGGCGGGCACGGGAGAGAGAGGGACGGAGGAAGAGGAGAGACAACACAGGATGAGGGAAGCCGAAGGAACGTGGAGAGAGAGGGGCAGGGAGGAGGAACAGAGAGGCCCAGGATGAAGGAGGGAGGGGAAAAAGAAAAATGTAAGGTCGCTAATGGCCAGGCAGGAAATAGGGGAAAAAAATGTAAAGGTTTTTGGGAACGTTTTTACTGAAACAAACGCCTTTCCAGCCCCGGAAGGGGAGAGAAATAAAGAGAATTGATTGATTGATTACTATGGGATATATAATTTTTATATTTATTTCATGTAAGGTTAATCAGTTAGGTTAAATCGAACTTTACATTAAATAAATAAAAAACATTCTACTAAAAATTAATAAAAAAAAATTAAAAATTTTAATTTAAATTTAATTAAAAATTAATTAAATCTTTAAAAAGTTAAATTTGATATTCTCTACCAGAGATATATCTCTTTCTTTTACTTCCACTTTCATAGAAAATTTACCAAAAATTATTAGCGATGTACTAATATCTCTACCAACTTCTGATAATATCAATTCTACTCTGACGGATCAAAATAATACTAGTACGTATAATTTGATTTTTACACTTATTATGTAATTTCTAACAATAAACAATGTGTTTCGAAAAAATAATATACATAACAATAATATACATACATAATAATATACATTTCAGATAGTGAATATGATATAAATAATGTGAACGATATTAATGTTAATAATCTAGTTACATTTACGGTATCTTGCGTGGACCATGTAGAACTCAATGGTACGCACAATATAAGGGTAACATCAAATGGAGCGTAACTTGCGTAAGTGTAACCTGCGTATCACCAATCACAGAACCATTTCGACGGAATTATTGAAACGGTTCTATTGGAATGACACTGTGATTGGTGATACGCAGGGTACACTTACGCAAGTTATGCTCCATGTGATGCCACCCTAAATTGTATATTGACGCAATGTATTAAAAAGTTTTTATAGACTTTTCTATAGACTTGGCGATGTAATTATCTGCAACAAAAAGAAAACATGTTAAAAGAAATAATACAAAAAAGAATTAATATTTGATATATAATACACTGGTCAAAAAATTAACGCAACAAGAAATTTACATCAAAATTTGGCGAATTTCAAATAAGCGTAACTTCGCGAAAACTGGTCGAAATTGAAAAGTTTTTTTCTCATTTTATAGGGCAAAGTCTCTGCTTTAAGAAGCTCGTATTGGAATTTGCATTCACTCTTCCCATTTCCCGGGACTTTCTCAAAATCATGACCATGTTTTTTCTCTAAAAAATTGCACACTTTGACGCACTGTGCGGAGGTAGTAATTTTTCTTCCCCAGTTCTGCTTACGGTATCAAAAAGTGTATACTTTTCTCTTCAATTTAAAAAAAAAGAAGATCCTACGACTTTTTTTCGCCAAATCACAGCTCATTGAAATAACCCTTGTGTTTTCGACATTACCGACGATATCTCCGTTAAAAATCATCGTAGCAAGATCGTTTTTCTTTTAAATTAAAGCTTGCACTCTCAGCTTCAAAACTAGTCACCACATTTTTCCTCGAATGCATCTGCGCTGCTGGAGCTTTTAAAATGTAAGGACATGTTTTTACCTAAAAACTAACCAACTTTGGCCAGGTGCCCGGGCGTAGGAAATTTTTCCTCGCTAATTCTGCTCGAAGTATCAAACAGTGTGTACTTTTCCCTTCAATTTAAAAAAAGAAGAAGTTACTGCGATTTGTTTTCGCCAAGTTACAGCTTTTTGAAGTAACCCTTGTATTATCGTTCATTACCGTCGACATCAGCGTAACCCAATGTGCACGTGGAGGTTGCCGTTCGGATTTTGCATATCGCGTGGTCCTACAAGTCATGCAGCCTTTTTCCCATCATATCCCAGTATATTCGATATGAATACACCACTGGCCCTCTTCAGGGCCACACGATGTGCAAAATCCAAACGGCAACCTCCATGTGCACATTGGGTTACGCTGATGTCGACGGTAATG